CATATGTCCCTGCTCCGAAGACCTCCTCAGATCTTGAGACTCTTTCTGGCTATCTTTCTGTAAACCCCCTTGGCAGTCACTGTACAGACGTTCAGCGAAGAAATTCTCTAGACTCTCCGCATCATGTCCACTCTGGAGTCTCCAACAGGCATAAGTACATATGGAACCAACGGATGATTATGTTATAAAGCACGATTTACTCTTTGCCTGTGACTTGTAGAGGACAGGACTCACCATTGTTACCTGGTCACTTGCCTTAGGTTAGAGGCACCCTGGTTCCTGTTTCTGGGAGGTGCCAACTCCTTTGTTTGTGCCCACGTCCAAGCCTTGGGGCACTCTAAGAGTAAGCTAGGCCAAATATAGGATGTTTCAGACTTCTACTCACAGGAACAGAAACACACATACACATACTCATATTAGCTGGGCATGGTGGTACACACTTGTATTCCCAGCATGAGGGGAGGCAGAGGCAAAAGGGTCTCTGTGAGTTTGAGGCCAGCCTGGGACAAGTCCAGGACAGCCAGGGATACATAGAGAAATCCTGTCTCGAAAACCTTGAACTAGTGCTCCCTGAATCCTGGCCTTTTCCATGATTCTCTAGGTCAGAAGTATCAGTCTGAAAGAAAAACGAAAAAAAAAAAACCTGAAATAAGCTGATGTGTTAGGATGCTCAGAGCTGATCAAACCAAGTTCATTGTGATGCTCTTATTCCAGCTTTCAATGGTACCTTTGCTGTGACAATTGTTCTTAACTCCCACCTCCCATCCCTCACTTCTTCCCACTCCACCAGAGTTGTTTAGTGGTTACAAGAGAAAAGAAGGGCCTTTGGTTGAAGCCACTTAGACAGTGGCTCCACAGGACTCCAAATGTGCTTTTCCCCACCTCATGGGACATGCTCAGCACCCAGCAGATCTGGCCATATTTTAAATCTCTGGGCAGCCCGTTGCTTAGGCTATGCAAGACCACTAGTACAAATGGACATTTTAAATCCAACCATTTGAACTGTAATCCTTTTGAGTAATTCGTTTCCTGTTTTATGAGGTTTGCATAGAAGAGGGGGTGGAAATATGCAGAAATGTTTTCCAGGGCATTTCCTTCCTTCCGCCCCCAGTCTGCTAAAGATACAGCACGCCGATCATGGTGGCGGCTGAGTTATCCTCCAGTGATAGGCTTTAGTTCCCTGGTAGGAATGACCTCTTACCCTTTCTGCCACTGCCCTGCAACAAGTGCTGGACCCACAAAAGGTGTGTGGTGTTTTAGCTGGTTGTAAGCTCTGCAGACTTCATGTGTCCAGGTCTCCTAAGGAGACCTCAACCTCCATTTTCTTTTCCTTTTGCCATTTTTTTAACCTCTGAAATTAATCCTCTTTTCTTTCTTTCTTTTTTTCTCTCTTTTTTTAGCTGTCCTTATTTTATGTGTACAGGTGTTTTGCCTGCATGTATGTGTGCTTGGTGCCTATGGAAGTCAGAAGAGGGCATTGGATACCCTGTAGCTGGAGTACAGGTGCTTATGAGCCACCATGTAGGTGCTGGGAACTGAAACTGGGCCTTCTGCAACAGAAACAAGTGCCCTAACCCATCTTACCAGCCCCTAAAACCAATCTTTTGATGGTTGCCCAAGACTTTCATACTGCGAAATGAAATTGCCTGTGTGTTTATGCTTAACAGTCTCTCTTAAAGAGATCTCACCCTGTTGGGATATCTTCCTCAATTGTTTCAATCACAAATTTTTCTATCCCTTCTGACACCGAGATCTAAGTCGTGAGGTCATTCCCGATACATCCCATTCTACGGCTTTTATCCAATCAGTTGCAAATCCCTGCCTGTCTCACAGGTTCCCACACCCTCTAGTGCCCATTCCTAGGCACCTCTTTCCTTGTAGTACCTCAGCAATGTCTCAGATTCTCTCTCTCTACACCTCCCATTCTGGTACTGTCTGCTCCTGCCCTAAAGATGGGTGCTGGTCCCATTCCCCAGAGTGAGGTCGGTTCCCACCTTGCACCATGTCACTGCTCTCTGTGTCTGTGACTCCTCTCTCCGGTCTCATTCTGCAAACAGTGGATGCCATCTCCCATACTGTTGCACTCTTTCTCTACCCACTAGGTGCTCGGGTCACCACAGTGAATTCGGCAGAGTACGCCTTGGGCGGTCCCGGTGTGGTGCTCAGTTCTCCCAGCAAGCACAGAGAACTGCCTGTTCCCAAAAGGCCCCTCCCGCCCCTCCTTTTCCAGCTGTGCAAGCTTCTCACCGCCTGTTCAAGGCTGCCCTCGTCCTCTTCAGCCCACCCTTTGAGAATTTCACTTTTTGTCATGAGAACTTGGTCAGCTATTCCTGGGTGTTTTCACGGTCATTAGTTTCCACTCTTGAATCAGAATGCTATTTCCTTGAAGTCCACAGGTTTTTATTTGCTGCGCTAACGCTCTCCGGTGTTGGGTGTGTCGTGTTCGTGGTTGCTGTGGCAGGATTCACAACAGCTAGTCTGAACCTACAATTATGTGTCATTAGAAAGAATTGAAATAATACACCTAATGTAATGAAGCATTGCATGAAATGCTTTATGCGCATTTTATTATCTAATTACCCCATGCTAAGTACACAGCTACATGGCGTGTTTAGCTGGTCACCTGCTGTGTGTCTCGGGATGTGACTTTACTAATCTGCCATTGAGTTTGTTACTCTAACAATAAATAGGATTATTGTTTTGGCTCATATCTTTTTAACTTTGAGCTCGTGACAGTTTGGAGCCCCATTGCTTTGGTCTAACGGTGGCACATCTTAGCGGTCATAATGACTCGCCTTGGTGGCAGAACGCAATGGGGCAAAGCCATTTTCCCCATGTCTAGGAAGCCATAAAAATGACAGAGGAAGGGGATGGAGGTTTAATTCTCCTCATTCCACGGCACCAATGACCAGAAAAGAGAGACCCAACTGGTTCTTACTGCTTAGGGGTTCCAATCTCATGAACTGGGGTGTAACCCTGTAGTAAGTGGGCCTTTCTCGACATTGTGTATCTAAACTATCTGCGAAATATGAAGCTGAGTGCCTGCTTTTTGGCACTTTTCATTGCTAATGCTGTATGTCCCTTCAGCATCAATTCACTTGTGTTTCGAGAATCCACAGTGTACTATGCACAGATTTTTTTCCCCTCTGAGAATATGAAACAAATACAGCACTGTCCCTTTCCTTGTCAGCATCCAGTGTAATAATAACAGGAAGCCAGGGGTATCAGAGGGGCAGAAAAATAAGGGGGCCAACTACTTCATCAGGAGAAAGTGGGGGAGATTCCTGAGAGTCTATTGTAATTAGAAGCTTCCTGAGGGAGGAGAGATTTCCGTCCAGTTTAAAGGAGAGGGGCGAAGGAGTGGGAGTGTACAGTCCCCTCTTGCAGGCCTGGTGGGCGCAATAAGCCATCCAACAGGGAGCCAGAGCAGGGCTGTGTTTAGGACCCAACACCCAGATATTTTGTATGTGCTAAATTTAAAGTTGTGCTCATGCTGATACTGTTGCAAGATGAAAAAAGAGGCTCTCCACTCCATCAGAAAACTATGTGAATCCCAGAGGACTGAAGCATTTGGATATCTGAGATGGGTGCTTGGATTAAAACCATTTAAAAGCCCACAGGCCGGGGCTCCTAAGCCACAGGGGAACATCCGTTCTAATGACCATGCTTCTGGTTTTTGTCACGATGCAGTTATCAGAACAACTGGCTGATGCTGCTGATAAATAATAACGGCTCTTTTTACTTCAGGAAGAAATTGGGAACTTTCCGATCTTCTTATCAATCACCTAGATAAAAGCACAGGAGAGAAAATAAAAATAAAAACAGAAATAGTCGGATGAGGCCAGACCAAAAGCTAGAAAGCTAAGGGCCTTGAACACTTCAGACTTGTGTCCTATACCCGGAGCGCACACCTTAGCAGAGAAAACAGGTTCTATCTTTCATATAATATCTCTAAGATCCTAAGCTTAAACTTGAAACATATTGCTATATGAGATTTGGGATACTGGCTAAGGCTGTATGCTCTTGTCAACATTTTTGTGCTTTTCAGCCCATTTCTTTTTTTTTCTCCTTTTTTTTTGTATTTTATTATTATTATTATTTACAATTTGTTCACTTTGTATCCCAGTTTTAGCCCCCTCCCTTGTCTCCTTCCAGTACCACCCTCCCTCCCTCCCTCTTTCTCTCCTATGCCTCTCCCCTAGTCCACTGATAGGGAAAGTCCTCCTCCTCTACTGTCTGACCCTAGCCTATCGGGTCCCATCAGGACTGCCTGGATCCTCTTCCTCTGTGGGCTGACTAGGTCACCCAACCAGGGAGAATTGATCAAGGAGCAAGCAACTGAGTTCATATTAGAGACTGTCTTTTCTCCCCTTACTAGGGAACCCACATGCAGACCAAGCTGTCTCCATGGGGTCTGGGGCCTTGCTATGCACAGATCTCCTCTAAAATACTACACCCAGCAGGGGTTGAAGCAGATGCAGAGACTCACAGCTAAACTTTGGACAGATTGTGGGGAGTCTTATGGAAGAAAGGGGAGATAGAAGAACCTGGAGGGGACCGGAGCCCCACAAGGAGACCAACAAAGCCAAAAAAGCTAGGCCCAGGGGGGACTACAGAGACTGATATGTCAGCCCATTTCTTTTTAAAAGCAAGCACCAGTCCCAGGCTTTTTTGGCTGAATTGATAAAACAGCATGCTAAGGCCCCCAGAGATCTTGTGGAAACCCCAGCTTTGAGGCCAAAGAGAATTTCCTCTGATGGAAAACATAATTGTCATTTATTATTTCCTCTTAGGAAAAGCTTTTCTTTCTGTGCCAACCTCACCTCCCCCTTTATCCCCTTCACTCACCAAACACACTCTGATTATTTTTGCCATCTGAGTAGTCACATAAGGTCACTGGGGTATTCACATCTGAAAGCAACAAAGCAGAACCCATGACTGGCAGGCCCCTGGCTGGACTCTAACCTGCCTTGATGCCCCAATCTCTCCTGAAATGACAGTGTGAAGCAGAATGAACGCTATGGGCAACTGACTCTGGTCAACTCTACCTCGGCCGACACCGGTGAATTCAGCTGCTGGGAGCGACTGTGCAATGGCTACATTTGCAGAAGAGATGAGGCCAGAGCGGGTTCCACCTATATCTTCTTCACAGGTACGAGTTTGGTGCACGACAGAGCCCCTTGAACTGCTGAAGTTGCCGCCAACCTGGGGTTCCCATTGCATATAGTAAAGTAAAGCCGGGTGAGAGGGAATCGGCATTGCTCAGGCTCAGGGATAAGTGCTTTTATGTGTATCTGATTCAGGGTCTATGCTTGCATTGCCCAATAGGGCAAGCCACTTGACACATGGAGCAACTTAAATATGATCGCACATCAAGATGAAGTACAATTTAACACTCATTTCTTCAGTCACGCTTGCCTCAGTTTGACTGCTCAGTTGTGACAGGTGGGCCGGAAATGTTCTCATAGTGGGCTGCACAGGAAGGAATGTTTCCATCGTGACGGAGTTCCGTGGCTCACTGCTGCTGTTGGCTGCTCATCACTCTACTTAAGTTTATGATCAGCTCTCTCTGGTTGCTAAAGGCTCCCTCAAGATTTGTTCTTATGAGGTCCAGAAGCTGGGGCCCCAGAGCAAGATTTCTGGAGCATCTAATCTTTGTAGCTTCTATCTCATCATCTGAGATCCTAAGAGGTGCAGGGAAATCTATGGGTTACAGTGGAGAGAACCTCCTCTCTTGTAATGGCCTGGATTCATTGTTGCAGACTGACTCCCAGCCTTCTTCCACTTTGGACCTCAGAAAGCTCCAGCATTGGGGAAGGAGGTTCTTCAGTAAGGTTCAAAGGTCTGGAACAACTTTTAGGAAGCTTGCAAACTTTATTTTCTGGTGCTTGTATTATACAGTGCCTCTCAGGAGAAGTCAGAACCCCTTGTTAGTGTCTGAGCAAAGGCTCTCATAGATTTGTCTGAATCCTGAGTCAATCTGCCTGCAGGTCTGTACTGTATTATACCTATGAGCCAGTGATCTTATACCCCAGCCATTATCCAATGCATTAGCAACAGCTCATATATTTTATCCTTCCTGTCAAATACCTTCTCCATGGCAAGAAGATGCTAATTCTCCAATACAGGTATCTCGTTTGCCTCCTATGACATCCTAAGAAAGGAGTTAATGCTATTTTATTACCTTTGTTTTAGAAATGATATGCATGCCAAGACTTAAAAGGACAAGATGACTCTACTAATGATCTGGGGCTTGTGGTAGCATATTAAAGAGTCAAACTCATTTTTCTGACCCACAATCCAATGCTATCATGCCTTGAACCCTTCCTTGACCAAAACAGTAGATGGTCTGATTGGTGGACAGAGAGACACTCTCCAGCATAGTTGCAGTTGTCAGAGAATCTCTAATGGGTTTTCATGGGACATCCCATAAAATTTTCCATCTTGGGCTATGCTACACAGAATTATCTGTGTGTCCTTCGTGTCATGCCCTATGGCAAAGCGTGAGAAGGGCAAACTGGTAAGATGAATAACAGCTCATTATTCTAGATAAGGAAGGGCTTCATATTCAAATTGCAAGCTGAAGATTCTTTCCAGAAACCACCCCACTTTGGTGGGCCTCTGATGAGCTCGGGTGGCCACATCCTGGGAACATATTATCCTGAGACGGTTGGCCATGCCGTCTCCTCACAGGTCACATCTGAGCCTCAGCCCCTCCCTACAGAGACCCAAGGGTCAAATGAGTGCTTCAGTGTACATGCTCATAACCTTCCCCCCGCCTCCCGCCCGTGAAGCATGACTGACAGCAATGTTTTCCAACCAGGTGTGAGGAAAATAAGGAAGTGGGTGCTTTTGTGAAATGTGCAGATGATATCTCAAGACCTGTAGGGAGGACTGGGCCATCCTGCTAGCATCACCCGTGTATTTCTCTTCCTACTCATCAGCTGTCCTTACTCAATGGTACTTAGAGCCCTGTGCAGCAATTGCAAAGAGCTTGTCCTTGCCTCGGGCCCCATATGCCCTGTGAGCAAAGGGGACTGGCCAAGAAGGTGGGTGGCTTCCTTGTTCCCCTCCCAACCATGGCCCCATGACCCTGGGCTGTTCCAATCACCTTTGCTGCCCACACCCTTGGGTCCCACACTCTCAGGAGAAAAGGTCCATGGCCTTCAGTGTACCCAGGGAGTGTTGTGCAGGGGCTGTAAGGAACCCGCCTACTGCTCTGGCTATTGGTGTCACTGGACACGCTTCCCAGAAGGAGCCGCTCTATGCTCTATGGTCAAGTGTTAAGCTCGTTGGTGTCGCAGCAAGCTGGTACTCGGTGATTTCTGCTAAGTGGGCTGCTGGCAGGCAATGCCCTTCTTGGTTCTTTGAGGCCAAGGAACCCCCCAAAACACTGAGGTATGTGGTACCACACAAGGCGGGAGCCAAATCAGAGTCCCAGACAGTCATATTCGTATTAAGATGGCTTAGCCACCACTGAAATAAGCGGTAAGCCAGGGCTCCTGGAATCTGAAGCCTGGCCAAAAAAGAAAAGCCTAGAAGTGAACTTTCCCTTCTGGAGAGGTGTGACCCTGTCCCTAATGCTGCAGAGGCTTCCTGGGAACCTAGAGAGAATTTCTTGGAGACCCCCCTGTCCTTCTGCAGGGTAGAACAAGCTAGGCCCCAGCCCTCAGCACTGGGCTGGCTCTTCAGGACAGTCTGTGTCACATCTCAAACCTAACAGAATGGGCCAGCAGAGACCCTGGGCTGGGGAGGGGAGGTGGCCTTCTGTGATCGCTCCTTTCTGGAGCTGTAGCCTTTGCAATGCTGACTCTCCATCTCAGGCCCACAAGATGCTTACACCGGCTCCACCTCCCACTGTGACTGAGGTCACTCGGGACCCATCAGGGTGGCCTCACCTACCGTGGAGTCAGAATCTGCTGAGCACATTTCATTCACATTAAACAGCCACACACCAGTGTTTTAAAGATAAAGTGACCTTTCGTTTTACTTTCTTGAAACTTGAGAGGAAGTGAGATACACACAACTGTTTTTTGTTTGTTTGTTGTTGTTTTTAAGAAACACACTAAATGCATGGCTGCAGAGTGGCAGAGATGTATATCTTCATACTGTGGGAGAAAGTGCTTTTTTGGGGGGGGGCAGGGCTGGAACACCTCTTTGTGAGTCTCAAAAAAATAATAAGACTCTTTCCCAAGAGTAGCTTGACTGTGTCTTCTGAAAGCATGAGTTTTTGATCAGAAGCCCTTACTGGAGCTACCATGGGTTGATAGGTTAGGGTCTGTGGGTACTCTGTGAGTCATGTTCATGTTTTCTCTTTCTTCCAAAAGTTCTCCAGTGAATCAAAAGAAGGCTAAAACATGTTGGTTTCAACTGTTAGGAAACTTAAGTCAGGTCTAGGGATATAGGTCAGTTGGTAAAGTGTTTGCCTAGCATGTACAAAGGTGTGGGTTCTGCTCTGCCCCAGCAGCATCTAAAGCCATGTGTGAGAGTAAAGCCATGTGTGATAATACAGGCCTTTTATCCCAGCTCTCAGGAAGAAAATGTGGGCTGATCAGAAATTCAGCATCATAGTGAGTTCTAGAACCAGCCTGGGCTTACATAAGAACCTGTCAAAAAAATAAAGAAGGAAAAGGAAGGAATGGGGAGAGAGAATGAGAGAGAGACAGAGACAGACACAGAGGTGACACCATTTTGTGGTTTTACTCAACACATCCTCAGTCCAACTAGACTTTTAGCACAGGGTTTGGCATTTTGTCTTTTCAAGTGTGGGTGGCTTTGGAAAACTTCTGCAGAAGCTGAGGCTCCTGCTGTTGGCTCAGGAGTCCTTCAGAACATATGCTTCTCGGCTACCCACATGGAGAAGCATCTGCCGCGCGTTATGTTTATGTGTTTGCTAGAATTTGATAGAAAACAGTGAGAAATTTCTTTTGGGGACTGCCTATTGTGAATCTGTGTAATGCTTGAGTGAGTAACTGCCACATTTATCTCCTCTTATCCAGGAGGCAGGTTCATGTTCTCCTCTTCTTCTCTCTCTCTCTTCCTCCTCACCTCTCCACCTCCCCAGCAGTGAAGCATAACATACATAAAGAGAAAATTCAGATCTTAACTATATAGCTCAATAAACTGTCCTTCAAGGAGCAGGCATGTATAACCAGCACCTGGACAAGGGGAACACTGTTCCAGTGGAAAGGGAAATACTTATGCAATCATTTTCATATGTGGGGAGATCACATTAATAAGTACTTGACTAGATAGTGAATGTGCTGTAATTTGCATTTTAGTTTGTAGGCTATTATCTTTGGCTTTCAAAAATTATAAAACTCTATGTTTTGTTTATAAAGCAACATGGTACATGAGTGGATACAAGCACATTTGTAGCTACATTACACATAGTATAATCTATTATTTTTAAAGGGATCTCAGAACACTTTTTTAAAGATGGAAGTTACTGCTGTGAGAAAGGGTGGAGAAGGGGGTGTGTGTTTGTGTGTTTTACACATGATATTGAGTATTGGACTCAGGACCTTTCACATGTTAGGCAAGTTCTCTGCCATTGAGCATACCTCAACTGAAATATTCATTTATTCCAAAGCATATATTGTACATCAGGAAATAAGACTATTTTTTTTTTTCATTCTGAAATTCAAGTTGTTCGCCAGTTCTATTGCCTGCGCTAAGTGGGACAGACTCTACAAACCTTACAACAAAAGTTGCCTCTATAATCTTACAATTATAAAATTCTGTTAACTCTTTCTTCTTAAAAATCTTTATTTTCTTGCAGTGGTGGGGACTAAATGAAGGTCTTCTATATCCAGGCAAGCGCCCTACCGCTGAGCCACACTCTCAGTCACTCAAAGGATGTCTTCAATATTAGCTATTCTTTACAAATGAGGGTTTTAAAGCACAAAGAAATTAATACACCCAAGGCTACATAAATTTTCTGTCTGAACAGGAATATTGGACACATCAGAAATGCACCCCTGGCCAAAGTGTGAAGTCAATTTACAAACTGACAAAATCAGCCAGTCTGGTTAGTATGGAGCCTGGCAGTAATGGAGACATTTTGAGCTATGACACAGTCTTTCCCAAAGAAACATTTCCGTGATCCTGAACTTGGTCCTTGGAACAAAAGAACTCCTGCCCCTGAAGACCCTTGATGTTGTTTCCAGGAATCCTGTGCCCAACCTAAGTTATTATACAATGCTGACATGGAAGGCTGGTGAAAGAGAAAGCCAAGAATAATTGCTTGCTTCAGACACTGCAAGGGAAACACAGGAAACCGTTTAATGAGTGTTATGTGATTAGCCCCACAGAACTCTCTCAGCAATTACTATAATATCCCCTTACAGAACAATCCAGAAAATAAAGGATTTAATGTGCCCCACCAAGCCAAACAAACAACACACACATGTGCCCCAAGAGCCCAACCCAAAATTATTTCTGCTGTCCTAGGGGTGTTGTGAGTTAGTCTTGCCTGTTCCCTTTCTGTGAGACAGAAATGTCATCTAGGGTTTAAAGAATCTGACAGGGTGCATAACAGGGGTTGGGGGGGAGGTGTACGTGTGTACATGCGTGCATATATGCATTTGTGTATATGTCCGCATACTATGGGGTTAAAGTCTCCAGGTATGTGGTAGCCAAGTAGAAGCCAGGCCTGAGATCTGCAGGTTTCCCTCTGTCTCCATGCCAGCCTCCTCCATTAGCCTTGGCATATACTCTACCCGCTGGGTTTGGTGAGGACACTGATGTCGTTATGATGAGCCTTCCAGAGGAGGTCCTCCCTCCACTGTATAAGAAATGCCTTCCAAATAGCAGTTTCTGGTTCTTGGCCATGAGGGTCATTCTCTGCATGGAAGCACAGAGTGTCTCGAGGTCTTATGATTGTTTCTCACGGGCCTGGGAAGCTGGCTCCGAAGCACCTGCTCTTCACATAGTACCTGATATTAGAGCCAAGCACCCATATTAGGTGGCTCACAACTCTTGGTACCTACAGCTCCAGGGGGATCCAGCATTTTCTTCTGGCCTCCACAGGCACTCACACACATGTAACAAAATGCACACACACACCCCTACATAATTAAAAGTAAAATCTTTAAAATTTTTATTTTAACTTAAGGAAATCTGTCTCCTCCCTTGCTTCATCAATGTGATCCATGGCTCTGATTTGAGTAGAAATAACATCTTTTTTGTTTGTTTGTTTTTGTTTTGTTTCCTTTAAGGAGATGTGGGATATAGGTAAGTTACCCTTCCATGCTCTAATAAAATACCTAAGACAGCTAATTTACTAAGAAGAAAATTTTGGAGGTTCATGTCCATGATCCATTGACTCTGTGTCTTTGGTCCTATGTTGAGACAGGTATCATTGTCAGGAATTGGGGACAGAGAAAAGAAGGCTAATGTCTTACAAGTACCTTCAAGAGCACATCTCTACTGACCTAAAGCCTCTCCCCTCACCCCCAAACCTCCTAACTTCCAATAGCTAAGTCTTAAACTCAGGGACCTCTTGGGGACAGTCAACATATAAATTATAGCAGTATGCAAAACAGCCAAACAATCCCCTACCCAGCCTTGATTATTTGTTTGTTTGATTGGTTAACCCAGCCTTTTCTTAGAGACCCAGTGTGCTGAGTTCACTGTCTTAATCAACTAATTTCTGTGCTGGTTTTAAGAATCATTAAGGTGAAATCTCAGGGTCGCTTTGATTTGCATCTCCCTGATGACTAAGGATGTTGAGCATTTCTTTAAGTGTTTCTCTGCCATTCAATATTCCTTTGAGTATTCTCTATCTGGCTCTCTACCTCATTTTTTAATTGGATTGCTTGATTTGTTGCAGTTTAACTTCTTGAGTTCTTTATATATATTCTGGATATTAGCCGTCTGTCAGATATAGGGTTGGTGAAGATCCTTTCCCAGTCTTTAGGCTATCGTTTTGTTCTGTTGACATTGTCCTTTGCTTTACAGAAGCTTTCAGTTTCATGAGGTCCCATTTATTGATTATTGATTAGAGCCTGTGCTGTTGGTGTTCTGTTCAGGAAGTTGTCTCCTGTGCCACTGAGTTCAAGGCTCTTCCCCACTTTTTCTTCTAATAGGTTTAGTGTATCTGGTTTTATGTTGAGGTCTTTGATCTACTTGGACTTACTCTACCCAGCAAGGTATTAAAGCAGATCAAGGTGAGACTCATAGCCAAACTTTGGGCAGAGTGCAGAGAATCTTATTAAAGAAGATATAGAAAGACCTGGAGGGGACAGGAGCTCCATAAGGAGGCCAATAGAACCAAAATATCTGGGCACGGGGGTCTTTTCTAAGACTGATACTCCAACCAAGGACCATTCATGGAGATAACCTAGTTGTAGCCCATAGCAACTCAGTGTCCAAGTGGGCTCCCTAGTAAGGGGAATAGTAAGGGCTATCTCTGACATGAACTCAGTGGTTGGCTCTTTAATCACCTCCCCCTGAAGGGGGAGGACAGCCTTACCAGGCCACAAAGGAAGACAATGCAGCCAGTCCTGATGAGACCTGATAGGCTAGGGTCAGATGGAAGGGGAAGAGGACCTCCCCTATCAGTGGACTGGGGGAGGGGCATGAGAGGAGAAGAGGGAGAAAGGGTGGGATTGGGAGGGTAGAGGGAAGGGTCTACAGCTGGGATAAAAACTGAATAAATTGTAATAAACAAAAAATAATAAAAGTATTGTGAGCCAGAAAAAAAGAATCATTAAGGTCACTTCACTGCATTTTTCAAGTCATTAAGCCTGTGTCTTCTCTGCAGAGAAAGGAGAGCTGTTTGTGCCGTCTCCCAGTTACTTTGACATTGTCTACCTAAATCCGGACAGGCAGGCTGTGGTTCCTTGTCGAGTGACAGTGCCGTCAGCCAAAGTCACACTCCACAGGGAGTTTCCAGCCAAAGAAATCCCTGCCAATGGAACAGACATTATTTATGACATGAAGAGGGGCTTTGTGTACCTTCAGCCTCACTCCGATCACCAGGGTGTGGTTTACTGCAAAGCCGAAGCTGGGGGAAAGTCTCAGATCTCCGTCAAGTATCAGCTCCTCTATGTAGAAGGTGAGTGGGTTGCCTTCTCCAAACCTAGATGGCCGCTGCCTGCTGCTTGGGGGCTGGGGAGGGGGGATACAAAGGCATGGGATAGTGTTCTGTGGGCTCCTCTACTGCAGGAATAGAGTGTTCTGTGTCCCTGGCCCAGCCCCTCTATTCCCCACTCTCCACATCCTTCCCTCATTCTGCCTGCATTTGATCAGCAAGTCCCTTAGGTTCACCTCTGCCTTTAGGACTGTCAGCCCTCATCAGCCTCTCCAGTATCTCCTGGCATCACCATCCACTTCCCACCTTCCCATCCTGGTTGTGCCCATCCCTACTCACGGCCCTTGTTTTGTCCCTCTCTGTTAGAGATCTCTGCTCTCTATGGTGCTGGCTGTGGTTCCACTAGCTTTCTTGCTTACTTTCCTGTCACTCCCTGCCATTCATTTCAGCTTTTCCTGCTTTTGCATTTTTTTTTTTTTCCAGATGACTTCAGTGTCATCCATTGGCCTGTTCACCAGCCACCTCCATTCTAGCCTCACAGCAGTTGCAACCTGAACATGCCAACAACCGCAACTGGCCACATGTAGAATTACTAGGTTCAGTCCCTGGCTCCCCAGCCCCCAACAACAGCCCCTCTTCTTTGCAGCCCACCACTCTCACATCTGTTCCAGGGCCTTTCTGCCCTGATGGCAGATGGGCTGATGGCACAGTCCTTCCTTGCCAACCTTCTCCTGAGCCTCCCTCCCACCCCTGACTTTCTGGAGAGGGTGCTCCACTCTGTTCCCTGAAATTGAGGAAAAGGAAGTGATTCTTTTTGCCCTGTAGCCCCTCCAATAGACCTTTTGTGTCTCTTGAGAGCTCTTACACTGATGAGGGATGGGAAGCCATGTAGTAAACTTCTTTACAGCAGGAGAGAGGTGTGTCTACCAAGTTAGCTGCTCTCAGAAATCAGACTTTGCATTCTAGAAGTCTTTCCCTTCTCTGCTGTGGGACTTACTCAATGGGCCTGGGTTTCTAACACTATTCCTGAATAACTCTAATAACCCTGCTTTGACTGCCCCCCTCAACTCTCCACTGCGGCCATATCTTACCACAACTCAGCCAGATACTCCAAAAGAATGGCTTTGTATTTCCTGACTCTTTACCTCCTCTTGTCCCTATATGGATGTTCTGCCTGCATTTATGTGTGGCTATCAAATGAGTGCAGTTCCCAAAGAGGCCAGAAGAAGGTCTCTTGAGACATGAGTTATGGTCAGTTGAGAGACCACTTGGGAGTCCTCCAGAAAAGCAGTATGTGCTCTTAATTGCCAACCCATCTCTACAGCTCCTTTTTGCACTTGATTTTGTTTGGGGGGGGGGGGGCAGAAATGGGGATTAAACCTGGAGCCTCAGGAAAACTGAAAAACAAAACAAAACAAAAAACACCCTACCATTTCCTCCAGATTCTAAATGTGGGAGTGCCTGAGGTACCCTTCTCTCTTATGCCTTGATGTCTTTGTGGAAATGCTCATTCCTACCATAGCTGTGAACTAATGATTTCCTAAATGTGCATCTGTGGCCCAAATCGAGGCAAGGACCATGTGTCCATCCGTACACATATGCTCCAGAGGACCATTAATTAGCAAGCACATCCTCATTGACCCAGTCCTGTGCCCATCAGTGAACTCAGCGTCACCCTGCAGGCACGGTTCACCCATACCCTCCATATCAGGTACCTAGTGAGAATGGCCACAACAGAAGCCCAGCCTGCCCTCCTCTCACCCTTCAGACTTCACTAAGTCAGTTTTGGATCTTAACTGTTTTTAATCCCTGATCAATGACTCGAGCTACCATCACCTCTGGCTAGTACTAATGAGAATATCTTTCTCCCGTTCTCCCACCTCATTTTCCAACCCATTTTCTACACAGTTGCTGACTGCAGTTCCAACCAATACATTCAGCAAGTTCTTACCTATAGAAACACAAGGTCCTGACAGGCCTTGCATGGCCAGCGTCACTACTCTGGCCGCACTGTCCCGCCCTCTGGGTCACCTCATCTCACCTCATCGACTTCTCGGAAATCCTTCCACCCATGTCTTTTAGGCACAGAGCTAAGACTTTAGCTGCTTGCCCAGTTCTCAGCCCATGTTAACTTGAGGCTCACTCTGGGCTTCTTCAGAGTTCAAAGGAGGCGTTACAATTGCCCACCTGATGGCTGCTCACTCTGCTGGAGTGCAGCCTCGAAGAGCTCGGCCATCTGTCTGCCTTGCTCTTGTAGGCCCAGGCCATACATACCACATCTCCTTACTCAGGCCGCTATCAAAACGGTCCATTGAGTGGCCAGACCATAACAAAGGTATGTTTCTAAGACATTACGACTGTGCCTCAAACACAAGTAGCACTTTTACTCTTCTGCAAACATTTTTCTCATTTTGAATATTTGGACCTCTTCTGAGAATGGTCGAATATCTGTCTGCGCATCTCCACCCAGCCAGGCTGCCTTCACTTACTCTTTCCAGAGTGTCATTCCCCCTTTGCCCACTTACCACACCTTTTATGTTTCCCCATGATGCTGGTCGACTTATTAGCTCATTTCCTAACCACAAGCATGGGGGTGGGGAGCTTGGATTGTGGAGGAAATAATCCCTATTGGACTACCAAGGTAGACAGGCAGCGTCATTTTTCAACCTGTGACTCGTGACCCCATTGGGGTTGAATGACCCTTTCACAGGGGTCGCCTAAGAACACCGGAAAACAGCTATATATATTAGGATTTATAACAGCAGCAAAATCACAGTTACAAAGTGGCAATGAGGATAATTTTAAGGTTGGGGGTCAGCACAATATGAGCTGTATTAAAAAGGGTCGCAGCGTTAGGAAGGTTGAGAACCACTGTTCTAAAACAAAGCAAAGCAGGTATGCTAGTACTGGCTCTGTGAAACTACAGAAACTGCTTCCTCTCCCCAAAGATGTTCGTTTTTACCATCAGCCACGGATCTCATTATTCTGTCTCCCGCTTCCCCCCCCCCCCCCCCCCAGTTCCCAGTGGCCCTCCGTCAACAACCATCTTGGCCTCCTCCAACAAAGTGAAAGGCGGAGATGACATCAGTGTGCTCTGCACTGTCCTAGGGGAGCCCGATGTTGAGGTAGAATTCAGGTGGATCTTTCCTGGGCAGAAGGTAAGGGCCACACCCCAGCCTTAGCCAGCAGCTATAAATTTCATCACTTAGTGAGAGACCATCCAAGGTTTATGTTTTAGGTAGGAGCCAGGGGAGTGTTTGTATCCTAAGATGTTTCAATCTACTTCAAAATATACTGTTTTAAAGAAAAAGGGGGGAAAAAAAAGTGGGTGGCTCTATTAGGTAATTTGCTCAAGATGCCGTTTTGTGTCATTTTTCATTGCTCCTACTTAGGAACTGTGGCACGAAAGGGGCAGACTGCTTGCATGTGAACCTTAGCCTTCACAATACACAAAGCTTCAAAGACACAGGTGGGGGGAAGTGAGGCGCCAACAGGCCGCGAATCACCACACAAGGCCCATGAAAGGCTTTAGAGCAGATATGCTCCAAGTGGGCACAGAAATACAAGGTGCTGTAAGGTCGGCATACATTTAAAAATAGACTTCTATAAAAGAAAGCACAGCGTCCTTAGCCTTTGCGCATGGTCTGCTCACCGAAATAAACAGCTCTGCTACCAGTCTGGTTGCCAGAGGAGACACGGTCTCCCAAGACATACCAGGTAGCCAAGGCTCTGGATGGAAAATGAGGATCCCCAGAGGGCCGTATTTTCCAGCATCCTCATATGCTACGTTTTTTGTTGATTTAAATACATTGTCACAATTAGGCATTCTTGCTTTAAAATAGAATGACCTTTTACATTGCTGTTATTTTATTAGGTTACTAATGTCATAACTACTTTTATTAAGTGAAATTAGAAAGCATTGTTCTTATCACGGAACCTGCCTGAAATGGATCTTAAAAGTGACCATCTTCTAGACTAGGTGCCCATGCTGTCTAGGGCATTATCTTATCCTTCCTTGGTACAACTTGCCTCCCTCTGTAGTCTCAAGGAACATCAAATTACTTTCCTGCCTCTCCAAAGTAGCTCTGACTGACTTACACAGCCAGTACTTTGGGCTTTTGACCTTAAACTCCATGAATAAGAACCACTTGGCAGTGAAAGTTGGCAATATGAAGATGACAGAATGGAAATATTTATGTCTGTGTATTTACACTTAAGACTCGTTCCCCTTAGAGGTGCAATAATCCATCTTACTTATATAAAGGGCAGAAAGAAATCACAAAACAGCATCCTGAAATTCAAGACCCCACTTGGGAAAAAAAATACAGCCTTGAGTGATTATGCATTCAAAAGAAAAAGAGGCCATGAGCTCAGCATACCACCTAGTCTTCAGTGAGCTTATGCTCTGCAGTCAAGAATGGGTCAGGTGGATGGGAGCTGGGGGAAGCCGCTTCTCTCTCTGGCTTCAGCCCGTGTGCCATCTTTAAACAGGATGAGAGGCCTGTGACCATTCAAGACACCTGGAGACTGATCCACAGAGGACGGGGACATACCACAAGAATCTCCCAGAGCGTCATTACCGTTGAAGACTTTGAGACTATTGATGCAGGCTATTACATTTGCACAGCTCAGAATCTCCGGGGAGAGACAACAGTGGCTACCATTGTTGAGTTTTCCTGACTTGGAAGGTGAACTGATGGGATGCCCATCTATACCTACAGCTTTGAGGTGATCTTATCTCTTTTTTTAGTGCTTTGTGGGAGGCCAATGCCAAGTGGGTCAGACAGACATCCAAATTAAAAGAAGTGTTACCTTTTCTGTTCTAACAAAAAGTGAGTATTTTGATTACTTACAGCCATGTTTCTAGTTTTTACACCAAGAAAACATGTAATTAATATAATAGCTTTGTATTAATCATTTCTATTAAATGAGCAAGATTTTATAAAAAAAGATGAGCTAAGCATGTATCATTTAGTTTGTATATCCAAAAGAACTTGACAGCAATCTTTGGGTTGGTATCTAGTATTCTGTTTGATGTTCGAACCAAGTCCAACTGCTCACAAGCAAAAACTCAAGATTCAAATGCTTATATATGTCACTTTATCAAAGCTAATGTGAATTAATTTATAAAGGTATCAAAATCACATATTTTTATATTAAATTGCTACACAGAAATTACTAATTTTAAATTCCCCTATTCAAAAGATCCGAATGTACACTATTAGCAGTTCAGACTTTAACATAAATGAACAAATTAAAAGAAGGTTCAGCTTTGGCCAGACCCGTCTTTGAAAATACTTAGACCACAGATGTTTCAGTTTTATGCAATACGGTAGAAATTATTTAAACTAGGTACAGTTTAGTTCTCTGATACATATATTTGAATTTTGAAAATCTTAACCCTAAGTTTGCCTCCATAACAAATTTTGGCATTGGGCTCGAAGTTATGAAAACTAGCAGACCTGTCTTGACTAACGAGTGAGGGGAAGCAGTGTACATAGCCTAAGGCTTTGAAGAGTGAAGTATGTCAGAGGCTGCCACTCTTACATTGAATAGTCCAGCATTATTTATTTGATCAAAGGAAAATACACTTTCCATAACTATAAACTACAGCTGTTCACACATCCACATTTTTTACGATGTGTTAACAATTTTGTATCTTACATAAAACATTTGGCTTAAGAAGAAAAACCTTAAAACCTCTCTATTTTGTTTCCTATTTCTCTCTTGCCTTAACCTTGGAAGCCTTTTACTTACTGTAAGGTTGACATCTAAATGGTATGAAGGATGGCAGGCAACACATGAACTTTTACCGTAACTAGGGCATAAATGATAAACCTAACTTTGGCTAATGTCATTGAGACGGCTTGGGACCAGGAGCAGAGATATTCCAGGAGTGGCAGTGACGCTACATTCCTATTGATCAGAAGCAAACATGGAAGGTTACATACGTCATAAACTATTGGAGAAGAGAGACTTCAAACATAACCACTAATAAAAAGCATGCATCGTGAATACCAATCAGCGGTGCAGTATACAGATCCACGATGACCCTCATATCCACCTCTAGTGTCCTGAATCTGTCCTAACTATAGGGGTTATTTGACCAGCCATTGAACAGGGAGCGGTAAATACTGACATCACAATGCTGACACGTGCGGGGAAGCCCGTGGGTCGGGTGGTGAGGAGCCACAGCTATCCTCCTCCCTTTCACGAAGACTTCAGATCCAGTGTGAAGGAGGTGCACAAGCTGTCACTCTTTACTCATTGGCTGGCTGCTCTGTTTCATTCCAACAACAGGAGGAATGCTCAGAGGGGTCCATGTCAGGGTTAACCCCCTCCCCCAGACCCTTTTCTTCCACCAAACAAGGAGCTGATGGCTTAAGGAGGTGCTTCTGTCCATTAGTGCATGCTGAATTCCCTAAGGGTTTCCAAAATTTGTAGTCTCAGATCCATCCAGAGCTTAGCTAATTTGCAAAGTAGGTTCAGCACCTCAAAGATAAGCTGGGAAGGGGGTGGAGGGCTTGCTTCTGTGGCTTTACATGGAGGAGGAAAAGATGATGTCAAAAACAGCAGGAGGGAAGATGGAGGTTTACCTCCGTGAAAATAGCTTAGATTCAAGGTGAAGATGAGTCAGAAACATCCATTGGTACGGCCCCCTTACTCTTTATACAGACCTGTGTTTAGAAAAATTTAGGGTGCTACATTTGCTCGTAGCCTGAGTACAGTAGTTGGGCTCATAAATATCTACAGGAAAAGAAAATGTACTGACTGACAATGCTCAACACTGAAAAACTAACAACAGAGAAATGTACAGACATCAACAAACCAAAAGGTTTTTCCTGTCATACCCGAGCCCTGCCATGTCACAGTGCTAAGAGGAGCTGGTAGTAATTCAAGCAACTACTGCTTTCTCTTCTATGGCTTTTGTTGACACATGTATATGGATTATGACTTGATTAATATAGGCCCAGCTATATTCAGCTGTTGACTTTTGAATACACAGCAGAGAGGGCTATGACAGTCATGTGACACACCAGTACATCCATTTTATTCACACACATACACCCCTGCCCACAGACCGAAATAAAAATCACAAGAAGGTGTCTCTGGTGAAGAACATTATAAAGGTTATAAATCTTTATCTTAATAGGCCCCTGAGAGTTTTCCCCTTATGCTTAGGTGAAGGAAGGCAAAGAACAAGATTCCCTCGTTCCTTAAGTGCTTTGTGCAACTATGTCCACATCAATTCCAAAATCTATTTTTGGAGGAGGCTTTTGGACCAAGTTCAAAAGTCCTCCTCCAGACGTCCCAACTCGTAAGTGGCTGACGCGGCAGTCCCGGTGGAAATTCCAGAAAGCCATCGCGGCAGCCCTCATTCCCACAAGAGGGTCAGTCCTGCAGAACTGCGCATCTCGGCGCCTCCAGAGTCTCTCTTCCACATCTGGAAGCCGTCATCTGGGCGAGATGCTGGGGCTGGAGAAGGAGGCGGAGTTCCTGGGGGACTGGAAAGGGATGGCTGAAGACGTGGGGGACCTCTTGGGGCTGCACAGGTCCCCGTTGTGCAACTTCCACAGGAGCTCCTCGTTCTCCATGGACAGTCTCTTGTTGACCTTTGACTCCTTTTCCAGGGACTCCTGTAGTGCTGCCTGCTCCGTGGAAAGTTGCCTTGAAAACAAAAACCCAGAGATCATGCGGAATCTGGGTCAAAAAGTAACTCCCACCGTTCTAATCTGAAGGTGCACAGAACCTACTCCGGGGGGATAAATAGGATCTTGCTCAGGTTCATAGTTTTGTTTCTGTGTTTATTCATCCACATATGACATCCTGACTGCAGTCCTCCTCCTCCCTCTCCTCTCAGTAGCCCCACCCCTCATCTGTTCCTCCTCCCTTCACGAAAGGGCAGGCCTCCCAGAAATATCAATCATAATAGCTGGGTGGGAGAGGGTGCCTGACTGAAGCCCTGGCTAAGGTCTGAGCACTGCAAAAATGAAAATCAAACTCCCCAGTTCCAGAAGCCTAAGCCTGACCCAAATAAAAAAATCCTATCAGTAATAATTGGCAGCTCTAGTTTTTGGGGAATTTCCCAGTAGGCAGTGGGGTACTTGCACAAGGCTTTGCCTTGTTTTATTTCTGCCTTAACTTGAGGGCTGTCTTTTGTTCACATTTGTGATCTCCCCTTCTATAAAAGTGCCGTCACTTGTTAGTGAGCTCCAGGTCTAGGCCACATTGGTCAGAGCACGAACTGCTGCTCTGTCTGCCTCACCGACATGCCCAGCCGGTACCCGGCGCACTGCGGCCAGAAGAGAACAGTAGATGTCAAGGCTAAATAGACTCTTGTAGTTTACCTTGAAATCGCCATGTGCTTGTCCATTCGAGCTTTTAGCTCCTCGTTTTCCTGCTGGAACCGCTTCAGCTTGTCGACCAAGGCCGTGTTGTTGTCCACCTTCGTATACACAGTGTTCAGAGTCAGAAACAAATGAATAAATAAATTCCCTTTTTAAGGCGTCTAATACAGGGTAACTGTCAAAAGACTGAGTGAGGGCAACTGCAGTGGCCCACCAGTGTGTTTATACAGATATGTGACCTATGGAAAATAATGAGGGAAACGGAGCATCTAGTTTATTTTTGCTTTGTTTTTTTGTTTTAATTCATCAAGCCTCATAAAAAAGGAAGATACCCAGGTTAGTAACGTTTTCCTTCCGGGTGACATTTTCAGAATGTCCCTTTGGGAGCTGGTGTGATGCCTGCGTGGCCCTGGGTGCTTGGCCTCTTTTCAAGGTGGAAGCGCAAACACTGCAGTGTCTCACTTTATTACATGTCCTGTATCCTAGAGCATTCTTGTGCATAAGCACATATCGTAAAGGGGGAGGGGAGGGGAGCAAGGGTAAAGGAGGGGGAAGGGAAGGAGAAAACATGAAGAGCTAGAGGGAGGGAGGGACCTACAGGAGGGAGCCTATAGGAGTTGGCCATGCTGCAGGAAGCCGTAAACTTGTTCCTCGAACACCTTCATGTGGTCGCATAGAGACAGCCAGGCTCTGTAGCACATGAGGTGAAGAAGTGATTACAGAAAAGCTTCCCTGCTCAGCTCAGGTCAAGGGACACTTTTGTCCTGCTGGTCTTCCCAGCCTTAACTTTCACATACTGATCAGTTGAGGATTAAAGGGTTAAAGGATAAGATCCCAGAAAAGGCATTTAGTCACTGACATGGTGGCTAGCTGATCCCATCTGGGCCCACTTTCCTACGGATTGGTTTATTACTTGTGACATTACAGCTCAGAATTAATGTGAATTAAAATTAGCCCTAAGTCTCTGCCATGGCAGCCCATTATGGCTCACAGGCTTGAATTACAGTGTCTGGGTAGAATTCTTGTTTTTACAACATCCTCGTGTCCAGAGAATGCTTACAACAAGCCAGTCAGATGAAATAATTTTCTAGAAAAACTGCAGAATATAAAAAAAAGAAGCGTGTGTGTGTGTGTGTGTGTGTGTGTGTGTGTGTGTTTGGGGGGGGCACTCTGAAATGCTATAAATAAATGCTTTACTCTAAGCATTTCAAGGTAAAAAATTAAAAAAAAAACACAAACTGGGAAAACTTGGGATTAAAAACAGTAGCAATTGGCCTTAAAATATCATTCCACCAACATTTCATTTTATAGAGGTAAAAACTTGACCTTTAATGTCACAGAGCTAACTGTGGGCAGAGCAAGCTGTCTTCCTTAGACAATTTCCTCATGCTAAGTGTGATAACTACTGTGCCAAAGTGGCACCACCCAGTGGGATTATCTGGGAAGAAAGGACTATGAAGGAACTGTCTATATCAGGTTGGTCTGTGGGCATGCCTCTGGGGGATCGGCTTGATTGCCTAAATGTGAGCAGCGCTGTCTGGTAGTGACTCAGCCACAGGGACATAGAAGAAGGAAGCTTTTGAGTTTGCATTTTGCCAGCTTGGCCCTCATTCTCGAGGGGGAGTTTATCTGCCCTTGACACTGCTGCTGGTTATTCTGTCCGATATTAGACTCGGCTTCTACGTGCTTCCAGTGTGGGCTGATGATACACACTGGGCTCTCCAGGAGTCCCGTTGGCCTTTGGCACCAGACTGGAACTGCAGAGGCACCCAGCCTTGCCAGTTGACCAATGACTAGTTCTCAGCCTCTCTCCATCAGCCATCACTGGACTACTCTAAACTCACCACGTCAGCCAACTGAGTGAATCCTCCTTTAACATATAACCATGTCAGCTCTGTTCCGTTAGAGGACCCTAATATACAAAGTGTCCTAAGTTCTCTAAAGGCCTTGCGCTCCTAAGTATACAATTCATCAGTGGCAATGGGTGTACCCATTGTCATAGCAACCTATCCCCTTTTACATAAAACAGTGTCACATCGACTAGCACTGTTATGATGCCTTTCTGTTGGGGCATAAAACAGAAATATTATAGCTCAGCAGAAATTAAAATATGTTCGTACTTTTATAGCAGAGCCTTTTATCACCTGAGATCTCCTGGTAAGTTCAGATGCATGAATGGAAGATGAAGCAACGCATTACTAACAGGGTTTCCTGAGTCATCGCTGCCTGCCTGCTGAGCAGGTGTCATAGGATGACCTTTGCCAAGATGTGCTGTGTGTACTGGGCTGGGCCTATTAACAACTGGGAGTTTCTTGCATTCCTTAAAAAAAAAAAAAAAGCCACTTCCTTTACCTCTGGTACCTCCAAAATGGGAAGAGTCCATTTATAAGGTATCTGCTACCATTCTGACCCCCGCATGATAGATGGACTGTATTCTCTCAAACTGGGCTAGACTGAAAATGTAGGTAGGGAGAACTCCTTAGTGGCCTGGGAGAGAGACACGTTATTCCTCATCGTGGGCGGGAGACCAGTCATGAACCCGGCGACTTCCAGAAGCCATGAGGATGAACTCAAGCTGGTTCCATTCACGGCAAACAGTGCTGAGTTGTCATGGGCCTGGTCTATACTCGTGTCACTGTCATTGACTGAGGCTGCTGAATTATGGGGGTCTTTACTGTGATGCACTCAAGTCCACTGCAGTGAGCCCTCACCTTCCACCCGCCCACAGCTTAGACTGCAGTGGCAGCTCTCAGTTTGTCAGTGCAGTTGGCATCTGCACCTTTGTCCCTGGAATTTAGGGTTGGCAGGACATTACCGACGTAAAGTCTTGAACGGTACTTTTATATCAGATTTGCCATCTGAGCTGCCACACATGCCTCCATGAGGGGGGATGCCCACAAGGAGAAATGTTCCAATCATCCTCATGAGGCCCCTTATTCCAGGAGGGGGCCCGGACCCTAACCCCAGCCCTAACGCTGACTCTGACTGGCCTGCCAAGCATCGGCATGGGAGTGAGACCCTCTGTGAGCATCCAGTCCCAGCTCAGCCACATGTTAACTCCAAACAGCTGGACTAAATGACCAACCTGACCATGACACCAAGTTTGAAGGAGTTTGCTTCAAAGTCAATGGGTGGAATTTAAGAAACACAGGAGCTCCACAAGGAGAGCAACAGAACCAAAATTCTGAGCCCAGGGGTCTTTTCTGAGACTGATACTCCAACCAAGGACCATGCATGGAAATAACCTAGAACCCCTGCACAGAAGTAGCCCATGGTAACTCAAGTCCCCAAGTGGGTTTCCTAGTAAGGGGAACAGGGTCTGTTTCTAACATGAACTTAGTGGCTGTCTCTTTGATTACCTCCCCCTGGGAGGTGCAGCCTTGCCAGGCCACAGGGGAAGACAATGCAGCCAGTCCTGATGAGACCTGATAGGCTAGGGTCAGACGGAAGGAGAGGAGGACCTCTTTTTCAGTGGACTGGAGAAGGGGCATGGAAGGAGAAGAGGGGGGGAGGGCGGATTTAGGAGGGGACAAGGGAGGGGGATACAGCTTTGATAAAGTGACTAAATTGTAATAAATAAAAAATAAAATAAAATAAAAACCTTAAAGAAAAAGAAACACTCATATCTGAAAATCGATAGTTCTACTTTGTGTGTGTGTGTGTGTGTGTGTGTGTCTTTGGCCATATGTTTCTCTTAAAAATGATTAGCACATGTTCACTATACACATTAATGAGCTTTTTTGTTCAAGCATATAATGCATTTGACTGTATCTGCCATCCATTACTCACTCCTGTCTCCCCTTGCCTGTCCCCATTCTCTTCCAAGGTCTTTCCCCAGACCTTGTTCATTGTCTAGGTTCTACATATGAGAGAAAATGATATTTGTCTTTCTGGGTCTGTTTTGTTTCACTTAACATGATAATCTCCAGTCCCATCCATTACTTCTGCAAATTAGATAATTTCATTCTTCATTATGGCCGATTAAAACTCCACTGAACACACACACACACTCCCACTTCTCCTGACAAAGTGAAGTAGTATCTATATATTCCCTTAAACACTCAAGAAGCAATTAATTATCTCAAGGAAACAAAACACCAAACTAAGCCAAATCGCTGCACTCCAAACAAAAAGCCAAACAGGTAAGAGCGGCCTCTATGCTCCCTATTGTCCAAGGCTGGTCTAGTTTGAATGAGACATTTCTTTAAGGAGTGTTGAGTCAAAACCGGGTGGAGGAGAGACAGGCAGTACACTAGGTGGCTGGCAGCTAGGAGCAAAGTACAGCCAACAGCCAGGGTCACTTGGGCTGCTGACAAATCCTGCCAGGTTGGTTCCTGTCCTGGCTAGCAGGTCCTGAGTTTCAAGTCTGACAGTACACATAAGGGCATGTCCCTGAAGACACAGCTAGGAGTAGGCTCAAATGCCGATTATGGTTTCTTTCCAACAGTTGTTTGCGGTTTTCTAATTCAGTCAATCCTATCAACAACACAGCTATTTTATCACATTCTAATTCTTAGAAAGATAAGGAATTCGGCCAGGCATGGTGGCACAGGCCTGGTAATCCCAGTAGAGGCAGAGGTGCACAGATCTCTGTGAGTTTGAAGCCAGTTAGGTCTACAAAGCAAGTCCAGGACAGCCAACGCTACACAGAGAAACCTTGTCCCAAAACGAAACAAAACAAAGCAAAAAGATAAGGAATTCTACTAGATCATATGGTGCCAATGACATTAACTAATTGAGATATCTGACTGTCCTGTCCAGGCTGGGTGGTGCATTAAGACATTGCCTTTAGAATAATTAAAATTTTCCATTAGGCAAGTGAAGATCCACAGACTACTGAAATGAGAACCTGATTTGTTACAGTTTTTCAAAAACTAAATGCTGCTTTATATGCATTTCATAAAAAAAAAAAAATGTGTTCTAGAAGGCAGCAATGAATCAGCTGGAAAATAATAATCTGGAAAATAAAATGCAACTCCATCCTTTAGCGAGTTTTCCCGATATTGTGCAGCTCTGCATTTCAATTTCCCAGACAATACTCTCCTGCATGTGTGTGCACGCACACAGGCAGGCAGACACACACACACACACACACACACACACACACACACACACACAGGCATGCACGCGTGCAAGGTGCTCAATCCACCAGCTGGAAGCAGACATACCAGCTTCTCCATCTTCATTAGCTTCATATCCTGCTGATGTAATTTCTCATTCTTGATCTCCAACACAGCTTTCAGGCTTTCTAGTTCCTGCTCCAGATACATGACCTGAGGGGTTTTCTGGAAATAAAAAAAACAAAAACAAAAACAAAAAAAAACACCATACACACACGAAGATAATTTCTCTGACTTACTTCACATATACTATCCAGTCTTGACTTCTTTATGTACTGAATCTATTAGGCTTATAGAAAGCAGTAAGCTACTTACTTGTTTGTTTTTTCGCATTTTTTTTTTTAAACATGGGGTCATGCTTTGAAACCTAGTCTTGACTTGATAGTTACAGTAATCCTCTTGCCTCAGCTTCCCATTGCTGGGATTATAAGAAAATGCTGTTATAGCCAGCTAAATGTATGTGGTTTTGTTTTTTTTTTTTTTTTTTTTCCTTTTTTGAGACAAAGTCTCATTCTATAGCCCAGGCTGACTTAGGATTCTGCGGCCACGTCTGGCTTTTAATGTGTGGCCATCCTCCTGTCTCAGCCTCCCAAGTGCCAGAATTATAGCAATGAGTCACTATGCCTGGTCTAACTTCTTACCGCAGTTTCAAATAAATAAAAATGAAGAATTAAGATCATTTTAACCTCTAAGGCTTTGGTCATAATGTTGAAAACAGACCTTTTATTTTTTTTCCCGTGGACACTCATGATACCACCACTGCGGAGCATCCCGCTATACCCCACCCCTTGTTTGACCGATGGAAATTCAACCGAACTATTCAACAATTTGATACCAATCAGCTATATCTATATCTATCTAAATGTATATGTATATATAGATATGTACACATACATACACATATAGATAAATGTATAGAAGAGAGGGAGAACAGGAGGGAGAGAAGACCCTATTGGCCAGATGTTCAGAAAGTTTCTCAGACAAAATTCAGTGCTTTAAATTATCAGAACTACCTCCTGGATCAAAAACTGCCTTCCCTTCCAGAGGGATCCTGAGAGAGAATTTGCGGGGTGGGGGAGCTTGAATTTTATTTTTCTCTCACACTCTTCCAACTCTTTACTTCAAACGAAAAGGGAACGAGTTCTGTGAGTCAAATAAATCTGCTTTGTAACGGCCAGTAGAGGACCAGACCCAGATGGGTCAAAACAAGAGACCATATGCCCATCTTTAATTCCAGACTCTTCAAAAATAAAAATCCAAGTAGTCCTTTTACATAGGGTTTTTTTTTTTTTTTGAGACCGTAAGATAAATGCCCTCATATTCACTTGAGGAAAACCACATAACTTCCTGTCAACTTCTAGAAATTACTTTTATGTGTTATCAGTGTTTGCCTACATACATGTTACCCATTCGTTAAAAAAAAAACAAAAAAACAGAAACAACAACAAAACAAGTGATGTTTTGCAGCCATGAACCTGACAGCACCAGGCTAAGTGAAAAGAATAATTATGAACGGCTACACATCCAATGGTTCTATAGGATGTTCCAAACAAGCAAATCCATGGAAAGTGGGACGGTGGCTTGCTCAGGGCAGGAGTCTTTCGGGGGCTGGAGAGCACCTGTTGGTGAGTACAGGTCTCTCTCTTTTTTGAGAGAAAAACAGTCTGGAATTCAGATACTGGTGACTAATACACAGTGTACCGAACATACTACAATAGTAAAGTTTACAGCTCTATAACCACATCACAATAAGGAGGCTTGTTGTTGTTGTTGTAAAAATATTCCCAGTTTTACATTTTTCCCAAGTTTCCCATAGGTATGTGCTTAGACCTCTAGATTTGAATCTATGTGTCATTTTTGGAGGTGTGTAAAAATAAAAATCAGTGAATAAATTGTTTTATTCAATTACAATAAAAGCACTGCAAGCATGAAGAAGACCCTAGGCCTTGGTTATCTCCACAGCTGCTGAAGAATTAATCGCCTGGAAATGGCAGCTGAGCAGAAGGAAAATCCAGAATGCACCACTTACTCACCTTCTCTCTTGATATTCGCTTTTGTTCCTCGGACCTCAACTTCTCATTTAAAGCATCGTTTTCACTCTTCAGGTCATTGATTTGTTTCTGAAACACAAACAGTAACCCGCGGGGCATCAGATACCAGAGAAGGCTCAAGGGCACAGAGAGGCACTCTCCATGCCACCTGACAGGCCGGGCGGGAGCCACTCACCTCCAGGGATTCCTGCTTCTCACTAAGCAGGTTCTCCAGTGACTTCTTTTCCATCTCATGGCTCTTCTTGATTTCTGGAAAGAAGGGAGTTTTGCTCTTTGTGAGTGTGTGTTTTTAAGGTACTCACATCCTACGAGATCGTGACCCTACAGACACAGGAGCTGATGGAGTGCGGCTCATGTTACTTTCCATTCATAAGATGTAACTCTGTAAGTTAAGCCGCATCTTCTCAGAACAGATTTGCTATGTAGGTAAGTGAATTCTGGTTCAATGACCAGAAAACCCTGATGCTAAGAGAGGCTAAAGAAACCTTTAAAAAAAAAAAAAATCTCAGAATGAAAAGTAGGGTCTCAGAAGACAGGTTTCTGATTCCTGGTCTGTGGGCCCTGTCTTCCCTTTCATTTGCTCTTCTTGGAAAAAAAAAAATACAAGTCTAAAATTAAGCCCTGTAGTAGTAGGAAGAAGACAATGTTTACTAAGTGTGTATCTAAGGCAGCCACTTCCGTCTGCCACCACCTCTGGGTCCACACAGATCAGTGTCTCACGAGATGTCCCTCAGAAAGGTCACACAGCCATTTCAACCACACACAACCCTGCTACTCTGTGAACCGCAGTGGACTCATGGCGACACCCACTGCACTGCTGACTTTGTCCTGGAAGAAACGGCTTCCTGTTCCTTCCTTTTGACTTCAAACTTTTCAGTGACGGTGAGGTCGCCACAGAATATCCTGCCCTTGTCCATCAAATGGCACTTGTTCTCTCCCACAGCCGTGGTGTGCAAGAGTGCTTAAGTGTGGATTCCTCACAGCACAACGCTAGAAACGGACACCTTGACCTTCCCAGGAGCCACAGTAGCAGCTACCACTGACCACCACCATAAAAAGGCTTTTAGAATCTGTTTCCTAAAGGCCTGGCATGTATAACTAACCATTATTTGCATCCTTAAGGGAAAAGGGTACCCACTAACAACAAACAATGCACAAAGAAAACAAGAGGACTGCCAGTTGAATGTCATGGGGTTATTCTGAGCAAGGGAGACTCATGGATCATTTCCATCTTAGTAAATAACTATGATGCATCTCCACAAAGTAGCAAAAGGCATCCCCTTGCCTGAAAGGGCGGTTTCATAGGTCTTCTTCAGCAGCTCTACTTTCTCTGAGTGGCTAGCTTCAATCTCCAGCTTAGTGGCTTCATGGGCGGCATTTAAGTTGTCAAACTGCAAGGAACAGAACAATAAACTACCAGCAAAAATAAAAGTGCCAACCAAGTCAAATGAAGGAACATCTGCTAAGGACTTCTTTTATTTGCTTGTGCCCATCTAACACGTGTGTATGACAACCCGCTCCGGCCTGGCCCCTCCCACAACTCCAATCCATCCTCCCCAGGAACAAAGATGGCCCAGGTTCACTGATGGGAACGGCCGAGTCCATCTCAAGGCACAGGGCCGTACTTCACGGGTCCACCTCAGCCCGTACCTGTCACACTGACAACCCTGCTCTCAGCCTTTAGCACATGTCTGGCATAGGCTGTGAGTACACTAACTAAAATAGCAAGTGAAACAGAGCACAGGAAATTCTGTCATCGTTGTTGCTGTTGTTTTGAGACAGGGTGTATCTGTGTAGCCCTGGCTGTCCTGGAACTAGCTCCGTAGAACAGGCTGGCTTCGAACTCAGAGATTTGCCTGCCTCTGTCTCCCTGAGTGCTGGGATTGATTAATGGCCTGTGTCACCATGTCTGGCAGAAAATTCAAAGTTTATGATACTAATGGGGGAAAAATGGGTTATTAAGGCATTTATTTTAAAAAAAAAATGGTTTAGTGGCTGAACACCAGGATACTTCCAAGGGAATTGGTTTTGCAATATTTCTATCCTTTTAAAAAAAACAAAAACAAAACAAAGCAAACAAACAAAAAAAAGAAACGGTCCTACTTGGGGTTGGCCAGAACCTTGGACATGCTTTTGCAAGTTCCTGCTGCACCTCTGAGCTGTAGCTCTAGAGCTCCTTTACTTGTTACTTTGAGACATTCTAAGTTGCCTCAGCCTCTCCAAGTAGCTAGCTGGTAGGATTACAGAGTTTTGATCCATCTGTTTATTCATTTGTACTGGGAATTGAATGCAGAGACTCAGAAAACTTTGTGTCACTGAGAACACAATTGGCCCTGTTTTCAGTTCTTATTTTTTTGAGCCAGGGACTCACTAAGTTACCAGTGTTGGCCCAGAACTTTCTCTGCAGCCAAGGCAGGGCTCAACTATGATCCATCCGGTTCAGCTTTTCAAGGGTTGGGGTTGGGAGTGTGTAGCACTGTGACTGGCTACCTTTCCCTTCTTTCACCTAACACTGCTTCATCATCATCATAAGAAAGCTTTCCCCAATTAAATTAAAAGTCAAGGGATGGCTCATTAAGAATGCAGACAGCATCCATACCTCAAGCAGACGGCTACCTCGCCAGAATAGCCAAGTCACACAAACCTGCTCTTGCAGCTGAGTTTTATACTTGTCTGCCTCCTCGATGTAAATGTTCCGCAGCTTCTCACACTCTGACGTGTAGAATTCCTTCAGCTGGTTCTCCAATTCCGTCCGGTCCGCCTGATGTTGCTGGTTTAGTTTCTGGACAAACCCTTCATACGCTGTTTGTAAGTCATTCCTGGCCTTTTCTAGCTTCTCACAGGTGCTTGAAGCAGCAACTAAAAAGGACATAAAGGAAAGGGGAAAGCCTTTACATTTGTTCAGTGTCTGCGACAAACATTTACACACCATTGATGACTCTGGAGGCATATGACACCAGTTCACTTGACCTGTGACCAGTGCTGCAGTTCAAGTAAGAACTGTCTGTCAAAGGCCCATCTGCTAGAGGCCCACAATGCCACTGGAGAGTGGTGGACCTTAGGGATGCTGTCCCTTCCTCACGTTAATTTCCCAGCTATGAGGCAAATGGTTTCCTCAACCATGTGATCTAACATGCTGCGATGTGTATCCTTCCACAGGCACAAAGGATTGTGGTCACCAGATCCTGGGCTGAGACCTCCAAGACTGTGAACCAAGGTAAGTCTTTTCTAATTTCTCTCACATGTAATGCGATTTGATTATAGCTGCCATATCGCCCATCTCTGAAAGCCCCCTTCTTCCATGCACTACTTTTCCTTTTACCTGGCTTACTTCACTTAGCACAGTGGCCTCAAGGTTCATCCACACTACAGCATGTGCTGGGACCTAAGACTCCACTAACTGCACATATCACATCCTGATCCACTGATGGCTCTTTCTGTCTCTACCACCTGACCACACTAAACAATGGCTACCATGGACATAGGGACACCGATAGCTACATGATCCCTGATGTCTTAAATGACAATTCCATTTCTCCACATCCTCACCAAAAAAACATGCTTAATTAGAAAAAAAAAAAAAAAAGAAGAAGTATATAGGAAGATTTTGGAGGGAAGAAAGGAGGAAATGATGAAGTTATATTAATCTCATTTTTTAAAAAGAAAAATATATAGACTATCCATCTTAGTGCATGTGAAAGGATGAATCATGATTTTGATTTGCTCGATGGATTAGGTAGAGTTGGAAATGCATTAATAAAATTCTAGTATAAAGACTGAAAACATTACTCCCACACGATCCGTATGTAATAGCACATAGTACATCTACACAGAAGAGCCAAGTGCTGTGTGCCTCAAGTCCCAGCACTGCGGAGGCTGAAGCAGGAGGAGTTATTTGAATTTGAGGCTAGCCTGGGCTACATAGCAAGACCATCTCAAAACAAACAATACCACCATAACCAGACAAATATCACAAACAAACCAATCTACAAAGCAGAAATACTTGAAGGGAAGAGCCAAAATGTCAGAAGAAGACAGATGATAGGAGCCATCACGAAAAACAACTGGGATTAAATACTATTAAGCTTTTTTCCCTTTAAAATAATTCATTAAACTAATGAATGACTTTCTTAATTGCTAACAAGCATACTCTTACTTACAGTGTTTATTAAAAGAAAAGAAGGTTCAAGACACACAGCAGTACTCTAACTAGCAGACACAACATTAGCTTCTGCCAACTGACTTAGCATCATGTAAAAATGAGAATGACGGATGCCTTCCCATAAGGTCTTGTGTGACTCAGACGTTTATGTGGGGAAAGTCTGTAAAAATCAATGGGGGAATCAGTTTCTAGCAAGAGAAATGCTGGTTTTAGAATTTTACACGTTAGCGAATATGAACAAACACTTCCAGCCTCATCTGGAAACTCACACCAGACAGGAACGTCTCATATACAAAAAGCCTCAATACAAAGGGGTCTCTGGGCAGACTGGTGTCTCAGCAAACACTGTCACTCAGGAATAAGCTGAGAGAACCTGCATCTACTTCAGGCACAAAGGGCTTCCGCGTGCAGGCTAACTCTGGCCACACCTGCCTGAGTGTCACACATCTGCTTATAATCAAACCACTGTCGGTCTGGAGGTAGAATTACAACACGTCAGTGTTTACGATCAAATGGGGTACACAGAAATCTTCTCCCATTAACCAGCTGAGAGGGCTGTTTGCTCTGCTTAAACAGTGTGCAGCTTCAGCTTCACTGGCTACTGGGATCTTGGTGAAGAGGGAACAGATGGGAGGGGAGAACTGGAAAAGAGAAAGGGCGGGGAGAGCAGGTGGGGGAGTGGATGGCTTTCTGCTGTTACTCCCAACAACCAAAGGGCAGGCCAGGCCCCAGAGAGTGACATCAGCCTGCAGCTGTGCAAGGGACCTTCCGCTGTTTACAGTGCTCTGTGCAACAGCTGGGCTGTACTTGTCATTCACACAAAAAGCTTTAGTTCGGGTCAGCTAGCCTCGGCTCAGAAGGAAGCTGTGATTTGGTGGAGACCTCCTGATTTTTTTTTTAATTTTTATTTTTTTTAGCAGACTGCACATATAAATGCTGTTAAGGGCTCGCATCGTGTCCACTGGTACATACTACATGGCTGTGGTAGGGGACTAAGAACTTCACCCCACAATTTTAGGCTGTTGAGGGGTTACAATATCATCCGTACTAGCTCCTGCCCATTCTCTCAGTCTGCTGTCTTGCTTCTTTGCCCAAAGCCCACTGCTTTCATTTCATCTGACAACCAACAAAGCCCAAACTAAAACAGAAAGTCATCCAGGAGTAAGAGTAAGTGACCCTGGGGTTTCCCCATGCTGCTAGGTGTACTCGGTTTAATGAAGTTACCACGTGAATAGAAAATTCTACCCCACACCCCCAAGACAGGGTCTCACTATGTAGCTCTGGCTGTCCTTGAACTCACACAGATCTGTTCCCGCACCTGCCTCTGGCATACTGGGATTAAAGTCGTGCACTGCTACTCTCAGCTGAGAAAATCTACCACTTAGGTCTTTGTTTTTAAACAGTTTTCAGACTTAAAAAAGAAAGACACAGACTTATTTTAAAATTTATCTCTAAAGTCTAAGTCATGTTAAAGACAGAAGTTGACACTTTTACTCAAGAGTTGCACCAGCCCTGAGACTATTAGGCCAGGCCAGACCAGGAAAACTGGGGAGCCCTGCCCTGCCTGTCTAAACCACAGCTATTTGAGCAAGGAAAAGTCGAGGCACAAGAAGTAAAGAAAGGCAGGTTTTGTTTTTCAAACAATCACTGTACAGTCCAATCTGACCTTGGGAAAACAGAATCATATTACTCTCAGGCCCTTTGGCAGTTACCCCTAACAGAGAGGAAGTGAAGCCACTACTTAACTAGTCCCCAGGGATTTTTGTGAGGGTGGGCAGTTGTGCTGATTATTTCCATCTCATAGATACAGATTTCCCTTTGCTGGCTCATGAATGTTCTGGTTAGGGAGGAAAACATTACACGGCCGTGGTCTGAAAAATGTCAATGTTCCTGCAAATGATACAGAGCCGCCTTCTCTTTTATACATGAGTAGAGCATGCCTCATAGGGGACAGCTAGCAGCATTTTCAGTGCTTGGGACCATAAGCACCTTCGTAGAAGAAAGCCAGAGTCCTGGCTGCAGCGTGTCAGCACCCTCGTCGTCTACCCAGTGATTTGGAAGGGTCGCTCACATTTCCTCATCTCTGAAAGAGGGGCAGCACTGCTACTTTCCCGGCGGGGTCAAACATGGCAACACGTGGGAAGAGTCTGGCCCTGCGCTCAACCATTTGAATGTGTGATATGTTACTGAGGTTATCACCAGAGGAATCAGACCTGACTGTATATTCCTTGGAAACATGCTTGAAATGCAAAACAATATAATGGTTATTGAGTTTGATCTCTAGCACTTACTTTCCCTCCCCATACACTACACACACACACACACACACACACACACACACACACACACACACACAC